CGCACCGTGAAAGAGGGGGGGGAGGGAGGGGCCGGGGGGTTGCATACAAGTACCTTCTTCAGATTAATCCACTGTTTGAAGTAATCAGCCACCGGCAGCCCTAAGTACTGGCATTGTCCAGGTAACCTGTAAGAGAGAGAGAACAGGCCCCGTTCAATCAGCGCTCAAACTCCGCCGTGGGGAAGCGCTCGGCGCCGAGGACAAAGCCCCCCCCCCAAGCCGCTGGGCAAGCGCCGCCCGGCGGGGGACGCAGCCGAACTCCTAGGTCCTGGCCACACGGGCAGGCTGCCGAGCTACCCACGCGTCCCCGCAGCACGAGGCCCAGTCCGCCCGGGGCTGGGGCAGCTCCCTGACCCGCCAGAGACTTGACAGGCAATGGGACCGTGGAGCCACGGGACACAGACGACTCAGTGAAGCTGCGGGGGAGAGGGGGGTTCAGACTTTTCCTACGTGACGTCCCTTGCCAAGCTGTTGGACGGGCAGCAGGCCAGCCTTGGGGCGCGGCAGCCCAGGGCTCTGGGAGGGGGAGGGGGATTTCCACACGTGCGCTCAGGTAACGGCGTGGCTAGGCCCCAGGCGCTCGGGGCCCACCCCAGGAACCTGCCTCCCTCGGCCACAGGCGCTGGAGCTGACAGCCCCCTGGGGAGAGGCAGGAGGCCACGGCGAGGGCGTTACGGCCCCAGCTTGGGGAAGCTGCTGCCACGGCCCAGTGCGTCAGCCTTCGGGGCCGGATCCAGCGTGTGCGACTCAGCGGGGCCTCCCCAGGGGCGTCGGTCACGTTCCTTGCCCATCCCATCTGCCACGAGGTACTCAGCAGGCCTGCTGGTTTGTGGCTGGCGCCGTGCCCTGCGCTGCACAGGGGCTCTTCCGCTGGAGAGCGGGAACATCCCAGCCCACAGACGGGATCCACGGAGACTCAGGAGAGCCACGTGCACATAGAATCACAGCACACTGGAACGGGAAGGGACCTCGAGAGCCACCGAGTCCAGTCCCCTGCCCCCATGGCAGGACCCAACACCAGCTAGACCAGCCCTGGCAGGCATGTGTCCAACCTGCTCTGAAATATCCCCAGGGATGGGGATTCCACAGCCTCCCTAGACAACCTATTCCAGTGTTTAACCTCCCTGACAGGCAGGAAGTTTTTCTCAATGTCCAACCTAAACCTCCCTTGCTGCAGTTTAAACCCATTGCTTCTTGCTCTATCCCCAGAGGCCAAGGAGAACAATTTGTCTCCCTCCTCCTTGTCACACCCTTTTAGATACTTGAGAAACTGCTCTCATGTCCCCCCTCAGTCTGCTCTTTTCTAAACTAAACAAGCCCAGTTCTTTCAGCCTCCCCTAGCCCATGTTCTCTGGACCTTTCATCATTCTGGTTGCTCTTCTTTGCGCCCCCTCAGGCTCCCAAGCAGCACAGTGGCCACCCCAGCCCCGGCTCTGGCCGAGAGCAGCGCTGACTGCGTTGCGGTGGGCTCCCCCTCCCGCCTTTCGGGACCAGGCGCAAAGGTGCCCCAGACAGGGCCCCGCCCCCCGGAGCCTGTCGAGAGGAGCTGGCAGGGCAGCAGCGAGACACACAGCCCCTTCCTCTCTGGCCAGGCCTCGAGCCAGCTGCCCTGAAAACGCCCCGGGCTCACTCCCTCCCATTGTGCAAGGACTAGGGCTCACACTGCCACGCCGGCCTGAGCCGGAGCCCAGCAGGTGCCTTGCCAAATCGAGGCCCCCTCTAGAGCCAACAGCCCCCGAGGGGCACTGAGTCACAGCGGGCCCAACCCGCCCCAGTTCAAGCCAATGACGTTCCCAGGGTCAGCCTAGTTCTTCTGAGCTGCCCAACGTCCCCATGGGGATGGCAACAGTTCTATGGACCAGATCGGACCCAGGACCTCGGCCACGTGAGCGCCCAGGCGGCAGAGCGCCCCACGGTGTGAGCACTAGGCGCAGTGGCCCTGGGGGTCTGCTCCCCACCCGCTGACCAGAGCCCGCACTCCACTGGTCCGGAGGGCAGGGTCCCTGCTTGCCGAAGGGGCAGGGGCCGGTTTCAGGCGCTGGCAAGGGCAGAGCAGCATTCTCTTCCCGTGAGGACCTCGGCCACGTGAGCGCCCAGGCGGCAGAGCGCCCCACGGTGTGAGCACTAGGCGCAGTGGCCCTGGGGGTCTGCTCCCCACCCGCTGACCAGAGCCCGCACTCCACTGGTCCGGAGGGCAGGGTCCCTGCTTGCCGAAGGGGCAGGGGCCGGTTTCAGGCGCTGGCAAGGGCAGAGCAGCATTCTCTTCCCGTGAGCCCCGCCAGGGAGCCTGCAGCCATGACCCGCGGGCCCCGGACTGACACAGCACGGTCCTTGGCCTTGCTGGCACCTGAAACACCCCGCCCGGCCCACCTTCTTCCAGCCGCGCTAGAGCAGACCCGTGGCTCCGCACACGCCGGCCTAGAGGGTCGCCTGCCGTTCCCCACAGCGGCTCTAAACGCAGCCTGCCTGGGGCTGCCAGGGGTTCAGAGCAGAGGGATCTACATGCGCCGAAAGGCCGTGGGTGGCCCGCTGCCCTCCGCCAGCCAGGCCCAGCTCCCAGTCTTGCTTCAGCTCCGCTTCCCACGCCAGCCCTGCTCCGTCGTGCTGCCCGGTAAACGGGGCTGAGAGAGGAGCAGCATGCAAACGGGAGGCGAGGGCACATGGCGGGAGCCCTCCCCGGGAAGCGGGCGAGCCAAGCCGGAAGACACGGCACTGGGTGGTGATAAACGGCCCTGGAGCGAAGGGGGGCCGGCGAGTGATGGATGGGCAGGAATTTGGTTATCAGGCAGGGCTGTCAGCCAGAATCGCCTATCTCCGCACATACTTAGCAGGGCGTCATTATGCGACGGCATGGAGCTAAAATATGACCAGGGGTATTGAAAGAAAGAAAGAGGGGATTAAAAACTAGCAAATTGAGCAACAATAGAGGCACGCAGGGCTCGGACGTTATCGCGCTCCTGACACCTTTTATCTCCGGCTGGGGAGCTAGCGCAGGACACAGATGGGTCCTTCCCCCACCATTGTATCCTCTTGTACAAACAGAGGCAGATAAAAGGTGTGACGGGCGCGATAGCGTATCCATTTAACCCTAATTATCCAGGGGGTCAAGCCGAGAAATAGGGGTTTCACATTGCAACAGGTTCCTTAGCCTCTCTCATGAGCCACCGCATTAGCACGGGGGGAGATAATTGAATTCAGTCACGCAGGTGATCCTAGTATATAAAAAATTAATGCTGGAGTCTCCCGGCAAATGGGCGCTGGCTAACCTCCACCTGCCTCCGGGCTCAGGGTGTCAGCAGACAACGGAATTGGACCAGTTGCTCCCCAGGGTGCGTTGAGATTGAGCCGGGGAGAAGAACACGTCCCTCTTCGGGGAAAGATAAAGGGACTTGCATCTCCATCGTCTAGACCTGGTCTCAGCCTCTGAAGCCCCCCGTCCGCAGGCCGCACTGTGCACCGCACACAGAGGGCTTCCATTCCAGCCTAGCCAGTGCTGGAGAGGAGATGGCAGCAGCCCTCAGCCTCTTCCAGCCTCGCATGCCCCATCAGGCCGCTTCCTCTCCCAATGCGCCGAGCGTTTCCCGAGGGAAACTGGCAGAGCTGACCCAAGCAACAAGCCTGGGTGCTCCGTGCAGGGTGACGGCGTGGGCAGGGGGATCTGGAACACCGCACACAAGAGCAGGGCAACCCAGACACGGCCTGACGGCTCCCTGCAGAACACAGAGTGAGGAGTTCCTACGGTGGGGCAGCCTACGCCTATAGCTCCCAGGGTGGCAGCCGATCTCTGGCGGACTCTCCTCGGTGCACGAGGAGAAGGGGTAGCCGCACGTCCCCTTGCGGGACCCGACCCTTCAGAAGCCTGCCCAACGGGGAAGGTCTGGGCACACCTCCCTTCCTAACACAGGGTGCACAGTGCGGGGAAAAGAGCCCCGTCTGACCAGGAACCGCGTGGACAGCGAAGAGCCTGTCTACACTAGAAAGCTGCACCGGTTTAACAGAAGGAGCGAGTTTAAAACCATCCGAAGCACCTCCACATCCCACAGCGGGTTTATTTCGGCTCAGAGCGGACTCGTTGAAACCAAAGCCATTTCAATCCTCCATTTGTTCTACTTCACCACCTGTGCTGCGCTGTTTTCTAAAGAAAGACACACGCAGTGGGTGGGTGCAGCATTAAAACCATGTCGGTTCACAAGTAACTAGAGCCGTGAGACGACATTTCGCACACCTTTTTGCCATGTAGGAGGGTACGCGGTAGCTACACACTTATTTACACTATTATATAGCTTCATAGTTTCAGATCCTTATTCACTGTATGTTTTAGCACGTCACAAAAAAGCGAATGATCTTTTGCTTCTTTACTGCTATTGGGTCCCTTTCTTTCTGTGTGTGTAGCCCGCAGCCTTTACACAAGTTTATGATAGAAGCTGATGAACTGAGCATGTTTACATTTGCATGGAAATGTTTGGAGAGAGCCTAGGCCTTCACCTACACGTGGTACCCGTAGCCTGCACCGCATGCCCTCTGCCGATTCCACAGGCCCAGCGTTTGGTCCGAAACACTCAGCCGGCGCGGAGAGCGCCCTCTGCCCAAGGGACGCTGCTCACTGCGACTCGGCCGCACGGGGAGTGGTGAAAAGCACGGCACGCCACAGGAAGTGCAGAGCAAACGTCACGCAGCACGCCGGGGCCGTGGTGTCCCGGGCAAGGGCTCCCGAGGCACCCAGCCTGGAAGCTCCGGCAGGGCTCACTGCCAGGGGGGTGCTCTGCCTTCACGCCTGCACCAGTCCGGGCAGGGAGCTGTTTCGACAGGCGGGGGCAGCGCACTTCGACTCCACCCGGTCTCTGCGCCGAGTGTGTGTGTGGGGGGGGGGGACTTGCTGACAGGGACAGAGCAGAGGGGTCAAGGCTGGTCTGTGCATTTCCAGCCAGCAGGAGGGAAACAGCTCTGACTCGCCTGGCATGCAGAGCCTGCGGCTCTGTGCTCCCTCCCCAGGCTGCGCCTAAAGCCAACGGCCTACAATCCCGGGGGTGCTGCTGCCCCCCCGCACGGGCCAGGCCCACACCTGAGAGCCCACAAACCACGTGCAAACTCAGGGCCGAAGGCAGGGCTGGGGCTCCTCCTGCCCA